TTCGATTAAACTATATAGAAATGTTCTCCAAGGTTCAAAGATCATTTTGGCATCATTAATTCATAGTTTTAACATCAATTTAATGGTTTATGATTCTTGGTTCTTCAAGCATGTCAAACACAAAACTCAACCAAACGACCGTTTATGAACGTAGAAACGATCTATACAAACATTCTAGTCATTAGATATATCTACGGGCTTACCTCGAAGCGTAATGGAGGTTTTGGAAATTTTCCGGCGAAACTTCCGGCAATGATTGTGGCTATCTCCGGCGACCTCACACCAATATGACAGCACCACTGCGTTCTACACACTCAAAGCTAACTCTCAGAAGCAATTTGGGAAGAAATGGTGAAGAATTGGGTAGGAAGAGATGGTCCTTGTATAGCCTTAGTGAAGAGGAAGCAGACACGGTGATGACCTCCTTTCGACTATTTCGGCGGCTGAGTGGAGTGGGCTGCTATCTTCTCCGATTCTAAACGTAAGTCCCTAATTGGGACTAATTTGGTCCCAGTCGGGGAACACTTTTTGGTCCAACTTTCTCCGAATTGAAATCCGATTAAACCATTGGAATCGGACAGTCAAACTCTACATAATGATAAAAATTTTATTATTTATTGACCAACTTTATAATTCACATATTTTTGGGTCCTTCTCAGTAATTAATTAATTATTAATTAATTAATTCTGATAGACCTATTTTCGAGGCGTTACAGTCTTAGTGTCTTTTATAATGAATAATTCACTTAATTTTTATTGAAAAATTATATTTTTATTTTCATTCATTTACTTGATTTTCTTTGAATTCAAAAGTCCATAACATTTTTGTAATATAAAATATACTAATTTAAACTAATCAAATATTTAAATATCAACTTCTAAAGATTATAATAAACAATTTGCTAAAAATGATCAATGAATATTTAAAACATGTCATAGACTCCGTATTTGTTTCCTTTGTCATGTTATTTAATCTTAAAAAATAAAAAAAATTAGAATGGATATGGGTCACACAAATAATTTTGAATATGATATGTGACAATAATAGTGAACATATTAAACAAGTAAAAAGAGATTAAAATCGTCAAATAAATGAAATATAGGTTAAACAAATTTAAAGAAAGTAATTTTTTTGTAATATCAAATATATTAGTGCAAACTTATCAAATATATAAATATCAAGTTTTTAAAGTTACCATAAATTATCTGTTTAAAATGGTCAATGATTTTTCAAAAGTTACTATATATGAAGACTTTTTTATAAATGATTTTAGATTCAATTAATCCATACATTCATTATTGACGTGTCATAAAAACTCCACGCATGCATTCCACATGTCAAGCTCTGGTGATCTGAGTCTGAAATACTATATTAAACGATTTCTGCTGGTTTACTCGAATATTACGTGGCGTGCTGTTTAAATTTTGCCACATAGACATGCCAAATGTCAAATTTCTGTGCATCCGAGTCTCCTTTATTATATTAAAGGATATGTTTCACATAATAATGTAGCATAATGATTTTAATACATATTTTATTTATATATTTTTTATTTCATATTTTCAAAAATAAAATATTAATTTTGTAGACATATTTTACGTAAGAAATATGAGCTCGTGCAAAACACGGAGTAAAAAGTAGTGTTTCAATTATTTTATGAGCATTTAAAATAGTTTAAAGATAAAGGGAATGAGTACTATTTAATTTCTCTAAAAATGTAAATAATTTATACCTAAAAAAATTCAAATTTAAAAATCAAGTACAAAGTAACATTTACTAATTTTAATTTAATATCGTACAACATATTTTTCTTCTATTTATATCTCATTTCAATCTACTAAATTAAAAACTACTTTGTGCGACCGATTAACCATTCACCCACTTACTTGTGTAGCTTGATGTACGGTTCAATTTTAGAACATTGGTTAGGATGCATATGCATTCTACCTCCGCCCAAAATAAATGGAGTAGTTTAGTTAATGATATTTGACTAAAATTATTTCAAAATTGGCATATAATAAAAGATAAAAAATATGTATTTTAAACTTGTTTCAAAAGACTTACTTCCTTCGTCACGTAAAATTTTTTAATTTTTATATCTTGCTTGTCCTATAAAACATTTTAATTTGACCTAAATGGATACATTTGCTTTTACTTTTAGGGTCTGTTTGGTTGGAGGAGAAGGGAGGGAAGGACATGGATGGGAAGGGATGGGAAGGAATCTTCATCCCTTGTTTGGTTGGGGAGAAGGAGATGGAAGGGAATGAGTTATGCTATGGTTTCAATCGGAATAGTCATGGCGGACCCAGACGTGGAAGATGGACAGAGGCAACTACCGTTAACAGAGATGGATCCTATAGTTATAATGTTTGCCTCAAAATTATACTGAAATCCTTTTCATCTTCATCTTTTATATCACCCATACCAAGCACTCACGTTTTGAAATTGCAAATCCATTTTGTATTTAGTGAAATTTCAATGGTTAAAGAAGAAAATCAAGAATTATGCAATTTAGTTACACAAATGTCAAAATCGGTAATGAAGGAAAAAAAGTACGATTGATGAAGGAAGAAGAAGACTAAGAAAATGAATATCAAAGAAGAGTCAATGGAAGAAGAGAGGTATTTGAATGGAAAGGTGACGAGAAAAAATGAAAAGGAAGAAATATCTGAGGTAACCGAAGAAGATGGAAAGGGGGTGAGACAGTCCGTCCAATTTGGGGGGACGAATTGGAGGGGAGGGGAGGGATTTAGAGTGAAAATTTTGGGTTCCTTTCCCTCTATTTTTTTAACCAAACATAGTCTTATTAAATCTAATCGAACATATCTCAACTACCTTTTACGCCCTATCTATTTTGACATTTCCCAAGCCCTATTTTTTTTATTATTGTCATTTTACCTTGGTCAAAATTCTATAATTTCCTTTTTTAAAAGTCAAAACATGAAAAATTTTAAGGGACGGAAGTAATATAAAACAAAAGGTGATATGACCATTTATCAAAAGAGATAAAATTTAGGTTAAAATGTAAACAAAATTTTACCAAGGGAGTCTAAACTTGGACTTCTATTTTCATGAAAAGAGTAAAAAAACATGCATACGCAATTGAAAAAATAAACGTTAGGAAATAATACAAAATAATAATTATCTAATTAACTGAGTGTTATTTCTCGAATATAACATCATAAATATTACTCCCTTGAGTCCCTTCATTTATTTAAACATTTCTTCTTTAATTTTTTTCATTTTCAATAAAAAACTTCCATTTTTGAGTTAAATGACTAATATATATATGTGTGTGTATATATATATATATATATATATATATATATATATATATAAAATTAAAGTTATTTCAATATACTCTATCCATTTTTCATTAATATAATAAGTTATTTAAATAATTTATTTCTCTTTTTTTGCAAACGGAGGAAAACCTAAAAAAATGGACTACTACGTAATTTTAGGGTATAAAACTAGAGCAAATTTTACTTCGCTTGATAATAGCCAACATGGCTGTATCAAAATTGTTCGTGCCAATTTATGGCACTAAAATTCGCTTTTATCCATTTTGTGAATGTGACTGTAAAATTATATATTTTCTCCTCAAAGTTTCAATTCAATCTGACGGTTTAAAACACCACGCTAAGATCATTCAAAGTTTCTCCCCCCGCAGGTCATTCAATTTAAGTTTTTCCTCCCTCTTTCTCTCCCCTCCATTCTTTTGCCTCCCAAAGGAAGAAGAAGAAGAAGAAGAACAATCTCCATCCTTTCTCTCATTTCCTTTCTACATTCGCCGGTAAATTTCATCTCTCTTCTCCCGTCATCGTCGGTGCGGCGAAAATGCACGGAGAGATGGGCGGAAGCGGCTTCCTCGTTCTCTGCTTCGTCTCTGTTTTGGCGATGCGGCGGTGCTTCGCCGTGGACGTGAATAATCCGGCGGAGGTGCAGCTCCTCACGCGCACCGTCTCGAACAAGCTGAAGAATTTCACCGCCCTCTTCGGCGACAAAATCACCGACCAATTGGGGTTTTGCATTGAGAATGTGTAAGTCATTTCCTCTTATTTAATTTCAATCTACAAATTAATTGAATGGGGTTCACATTCTAAAAATGATGAAGCGCGCTTTTAATAATTCTCCTTTTGTGGACTTGGTTTTAGTCTGTGATCAATAATTTGAGCATATTCATTAAAATTCTAAGGCCAAAAGTTCATGAATATGCTAAGAATATATCCCCTTCAATTTCTAATCCTATCATAAAAGCTATAATCATAAATTAAAATATAAACAAAATGATACTCGTAGCAAATATGGAGTAGTATATCTTTTTTAATGCCTTTAACATTTTTGATGGATCAAAATGTCCATGGAGAAATTTGTTTAAAAAATTACTCCCTCTCTTACAATACTATTTATCCAAATTGGCCTTGAATTTTAAAAATAATTATTCCCTATGTCCTAAACTTAAACTGGTTATTTATTATTTACAAAATCAAACTTTATTTACAATCTTTACTTATTTTTGTTATTTATTTGATAAAATAAAATAACTCCTAATAGGATCATCACTTGTTTCATAGAACTTTTGATGTAGTTTTAAATATATAAATACGCAATATTGTTTTTAAATTTCATCACATTTTTCATACTAACTGATTTAAAAAATAACTTCAATCAAATATTGTGGATCAAAATAGACAATATAAGTTGGATATTAAAGTGTGAATTAAGCTTGGGCGGCCTTTTTTTGCCTTAAGTATTACCGTAATAAATTTCAATGACGTTTTGGGCCATTATAAATTGGGAAACGTTCTACTAAGTGAGATAAATATTTTGATATACTACAAAACAAAAAATAGTTAACATATATATGAGAAATTAAAGTATGAAATTAACTCGTTGAATGATAATAGATGAGGTGAGTGAAGTTTCTTGAAAAGCTAGATAAGTGTTCTCACATTTGAAATCAAATTCTATTAAATACTCACACAAAAGGTGGAACACTTTATGAAATAATAAAGTACTTTATGAGTGGGTAAAAAGGTGAACTTGCATATCGTCTTGGCTCGATACGTCACGCATGCACCGGTCGTGGGCCTCAAGAATGAGCCATGTGTCACATAAAATGGGACACAAATTATTGAAAAATTCAATGTTCTTTGAACGTGTATTTCCATACAAACTAAACGATGAATTACTTTATCAAATACATTCACACAAAAATATGACAAACAAAGATCTTATTGGCAATATTGATACCGACACTAATGACAAAATCGATATTGAGAATGAATTAACTCTAATGTGGCCAAAACTTGAGGCGAGAGTAACTCTCAAATAGACTATGCGGACATTATGAGAAGGTTGATATCTCATATACCTCTTGAGCTACACGAGACTAGACATAGTTTGCCCCATCATTAAACTGAATAGGTATGAGATACCTTATGTATACCAGTAATCAGAGACTTCACTACACTTGATATCTAACTGTATTTATTATACGCGAATGCAAACTAGTTATCTGACACAAAAGACTCAAAATCTACAAACGGATATGCCTTTATGCTAGGGGGTGCAATTATGTCTTATAAGTCCTCTAAATAGACATTAACCGTAAGGTCCATGATGCAATCTAAGTTCATAACTCTAAAGAGATGCATATAAGAAACTAAATGGCTATGAAACTTCCTATAAGACATTCAAGGGTGGAACAACCCGATTTCACTTATTTGCATCCATTTGATAGTTAGTCAACATTTCACAAGGAAATCAGTTTGGATTAGAGCATTTATAATAGGAGTATTTCTCGCCCCGCTTCAACTCCTACCACATCAGCATTCTACTAATTTTCAACCCCGCTCCAAAAGTCTGCAATGTTATCGCCCTCAAAAACCTTCTTCGTCGTTTCTTTTACATTATTCATCACTTTTTTATTCCAAATTTTTATAAGAAAAAATACATATAATTAATATAAAAATGTTAACATTGATAGTCTTTATTAAAAAAACATCAAAATAAAAAAACACCAAATTAAAATTATAAAATGAAAATTAATGCTAGAATTACGTTTTGTTACGCCTCCAAATTTCTTCAATCAAATCATCATGGAGGGTAGCATGACTTCGTTCATCACGCATACTTGCACTCCAATTTGCAAAGTCTTGCAAATCAGGAGGTGGCCCTTGAGTCGTTGGACCTTGGACGACGGATGCCCTAGAAATGGATGTGGTCATCTCATCTATAAAATGAGTGGTGCTGGCTCCCACGTCTTCGACTATCATGTTATGCAGTACAATACATGCAAACATGATGTCCAAGATGAACGGTCGACACCACGGGCGTGCGAGGCCTTTCACCATTGCTTACTGCGCTTGGAGGACTCCGAAGGTACGTTCCACATCTTTCTGTGTCAACTCTTATTTCTACATGAACAATTCCCTCTTTGGATTTTTAAGAAACATGATTGTTTTCACAAACACCAGGCAACATGGATGGATCTCATCCGCTTGATAATATCCCATGTTGTATTGGCGACCACTAGTGGTGAATTGCACGAATGGCACATGTCCAGCGCACACATCGTTGAATTAAGGGGACCCATTCAACATGTTCAGATCGTTATTTGATCTGGCGACTCCGAAGTACACATGCCAGATCCACAAACGATGATCAACAACAGCCTCGAGCACGAGTGTATGAAGTTAGCCCTTGTAACTACTTATGAATGCATCCCTTCACGCCACGAGACAATTTTCCACTTCCAATGCATACAGTCCAGGCTACCAATCATCTCTGGAAACCCATGCACATGCTCGTTCATATTGATTAACATTTGAATGTCTTGGACAGCTGGATTTTGCAAGTACATGTCATTGAAAGCTTCAATGACACCTTGGTAAAAGCGTTGAAAGCATTCTCGGCATGTAGAGTTTCAGATGTGGAGGTACTCGTCGAACATGTCATCTAGGTGCCGTATGCGAGCTACCTATTCGCAATTGTGTACTTCAATAGAGTGGATAAGCCGTCTTGTCCTCCAAACACTGTTGGAAATCGTTATCATGAATTACGAGTGCCTCCACAATCTGGGTGAAAAATACACGACGCATTCGGAAGCGCTGACAAAACTGGTCATCAGAAAAACATGGAACATTTGAAAAATAATCTTCAAACAATTACCTATGTGGAACTAGAGGAGTAGCAACCACTACTACTTGTCAAACAATTTCATTCTACATCTTTGCTTGATGAAAGACAAATACTCATGGTACACCGCAAATAACATATCAACGAGCTCATCATTCATTGGAGATAAAGCCCTTTTTGTTTGAATTAAGAGAGATGAAGAGAAATTGAGAAAAGGATTGAACTCAGAGAGATGATAGTAGATGAGTTGAGGTTGAAGATGTGTCGAATTTATAGAATTGAAACATTTAAAAAAATTAGACACGGCATGGCGGATTGATACAGTGGATAGCCACTACTCATTTCACCCGCAAATCTCGCCCGGCTCATAGGCAGAGCGGCAAAGGCGGCGTGGCACGGTGGATCTTTTAATTGGCACTCCGCCGCTTGCCGTTCCGCTGCTGCGTGGCACGGTGAATCTTTTAATTCCTGCAAGTGCTCTAAGTCTCTAACGCAACATTTAAAAAAATTAGACACAGCATGGCGGATTGATGTAGTGGATAGCCACTACCCATTTCAGCCGCAAATCTCGCCCGGCTCATAGGTAGAGCGGCAAAGGCGGCGTGGCACGGTGGATCTTTTAATTGGCACTCCGCCGCTTGCCGTTCCGCTGCTGCGTGGCACGGTGAATCTTTTAATTCCTGCAAGTGCTCTAAGTCTTTAACGCAACAACAAAATACTCCCTCCGTCCGGAAATGATCTTCTCATTTGACTTTTCACGGTCTTCAATATTGTACTTTGACCATTAATATCTATATTTATACATAGACATATTTTATAAAAAATTGATATTTGAAAACTACGTTTCATTATGAATATATTGATATTAAATTTACATCATAATACAATGTATTTTTTCCACAAATCGTAGTCAAAGTTTTTAAACTTTAACCAAGAAAAGTCAAATGTGAAGAATTTGAGGAGTTGTGGAGGAGGAAGTAAAATGTTAATATCAAGAATAAGATGATATACCTTGGAACAAAAGATAAGAATTAATGGGGTTAGGAAGAAGATGAATCGCTAAAGCCTCCTCGCTCCAGTGAAAAATTGATACAGGCCAAATGAAACACTTTGTATAGTGTGTGACATAGTTTTAAAAACCGGACCGGCCGGTTCAGACCGTGAACCGGCGAACCGGTGGTCCAACCGGTCCGGTCCGCCACCTTGGACTACAACTTGCATCAAACCGCTACGAACCGCAGTGAACCGGAAAAAACCGGCCGGTTCGCCAGCCAAACCAGTTTTTTTTTTGCAATTTTTTCGCCCAAAAATCTCACCCCATAGGGATTTGAACCCAAGACCTCTTGCTACCAAAGTTAAATGCCTAACCATCTCAGCTCAAGTGTCTTTGAGTCATAAGTTCACTTTAATAATTTTTAATATTACATTATTAAAAAATGTTTAAAGATTTCTTTTCATTTTAAGAACTTTAGCTATGATTCAAACTCAGAATTATTGAGATATAATTGATACAATTACAAATATTATGCAAAGATTTTATTTCAGTGTTTTTCATATTAAATAATTTATTTGAAAAAAATAAAATCAACTCTTTGTTTATAAAATGTTTAATATTGTTTTTTAAATATGTAAGTTTTATTTTTTAAACTTAGTGACATAACTGAAGTAAATTATTATAGATTTGGTCAAATGTTATACATTATTTACCCTTAAGTATTTATAAATAAGAGAGAGAGTTTGTGCCTATATATATATATATATAATTTTAAAAAATGTTTAAACTACCGGTTCGACCAGTTGAACCACTGGTTCGACCAGTAAACGAGTGAACAGTAACCAGTGAACAGTATCGAGACCGGTTCGATCACCGGTCCGGTTCTGAAAACTATGGTGTGTGGGCTTGTAATTGGGCTGATTAGTTGCGTTGTTAGAGTTAGTTGAATTTTCTGTTTATATACGAAGTTTGTAGCTAAAAATCTTCTTCTTCTTCCTGCAATTTCTCACCCTCTCAACTCTTTCTCAGCAGAAAAGTTCTAGCAATTCTCATCCCTTGCTCCTACTTCTGTTGCTTAGATACTCGAATTGAACATTCCAATTCATGTACTACAAAAACAGCGACCAGTTTCGGTCCTCTCATCCCTCAGGTTTCTGGATCGACTCAGCTTCCTGATCATCGCCCTAAGCTTGGTCTGCAGCCCTTCGTCGCCAGCAGCTTCACAGGTTTGCATAGTCCAGAGTCGCACCTCAGTTGTTCGACGTTTTGCTTCACTGGAGCCCCATAGTTTTGCAGCTGTTTTGTATGACTCCATGGNCCCCCCCCCCCCCCCCCAAACCCTCTGATGATTCGCATGGAGAGGTGTTGGTCCCTGGCCAGTGCTCTTAAGAAGGCACGCAAAGTGTTTGTCCAAATGCCCTAAGGGAAAATCCTATGCTTTCTGAAATGAACTCTGCTCTGGGGAAGTCATCTTGGGGTGTGGTGGTGGAGGACATCACGCATTGGTCTATCGTTCATTTTCCAACAAGAATGCACCTCCCTCCTTACCCCCAATCAGTGACCAAAGAGGTGTCTGCCCTTGTTAGAGGCCAACAGGTGAACCAGCAAGGGTCTTCCATGGAAGATTTCCCTTTGCTACCCGCTCTCAAATCACAGCCAAGCAGTTCCATTTTGCTCCCTTTGGTAGCCACAACCACTGGACCAGTTTGGGCGTGGCACCAGCGTGGTCAAGGGGCTCCCTCATTTGCACAAAATTTAGCACCAAAAGTGGCCCATATGCAGATGGTTCTCCCCCTTTTACCTGATCGTAAGGTTATCATGCATAGAAACACCCCAACTGTTAGGTTCAAGCAAAGTGAGGAGGGGATCCACTCTGCAACTGTTAGGTTCAACTGATCGTTCAAAGTTCATCCATTGTGCTACTCATTTTGTGTTAAGAGGGCATGTTATTATTGGGTAGAGAGGATCCAAACATGTCTTCCTCTCCTTCTCTAATGTTCAAGATTGTACTGATATTCTTTTAAAAGGTCAAATCTTTTTTCAAGGCATTAACCCTATGAGATTGTTTAGATGCATCCTGGATTTTAATACTGATCAGGAAACATCCACCGAGGTGTGGGTATTGCTTTATGGTTTACCTACCCACTTGTTTGATATGAATGCCTAGTCCTTGGTTTGTAAGCCTCTTCGTAAAGTGGTAGGGGTTGATCACCATACTCTTCATCGTACTAAGCCCCATGTTGCCCGGGTTTGGCTTTGCCTTTGGTTTCCTTTGTTTTTCTTCTTTCTGTTTGCTTTGCCTTCTGTTTGGCTTGTTCTTTGAACTCTTTACTTTTGCTTTTAGTAAAACGTAAGGTTTGAAAAAAAAGGTGTTGAGGAATGGATTTTTGCAACCATGTAGCCACAAAATTACAGGCCTCTAGCATGTCTACACAAACAAATTAAGCTCGGAGTGTCCAGTATATTATATGCTGGTAAATTGTACATAAAATATTCTATGATACTCCGTATAAAATATGTGTATGAAAATTATAACTAAACTAATATTTCCCCCTTTTCTCTCTTGAGAATTTCAGCCAAACCTGAGTGATATGTAACAAAAGATGGTGGTCTAAGTAGAGATAGAGATAAAGAGAGAGGGCGGCATTTATATGATTTATTTATCAAATTTATGGTGTTATTTTACAGGGATGCTGAATGGAAAAGGGCATTCGATTTTAGTGACACAGAGTTTTTGTCCAATTGCATCAAGCGAACAAAAGGTATGACAAATGACAATGTTAGCATACTGGGTCATGCACATACAGAGTGTTTCGGCAAGTGTTGCCACACTACTATGGAGTGTTTGGCAAATTCTTTGTTAAAATAGATCTTAAAAAATTGCCTTGACCAAAGTAGAGATTAAAATGAGCTGGTCTTGAGTCGGCTTGGATCGACTTATACACTAATTATTACTAAAAAAAATTAAATTCAAACTCAGACCTTAGCTGTTAAACAACAAAAATTAAACAACAAAATACAAAAGAACAAATTATACTCTTGTAAAAGTGCAATTAAAGAGATATACTTTGGATAGAAATGAGTTAGAATAATTCACTAGGTGCTATAATCTATTCTTTCACACACATCATGTAGTCAAAATTTTTAAAAAATTGACCAAGAGTAGTCAAACATGAAAACAGATATTGAAGGGTTCGGGTAACTTTTTGTTTTTTATTTTTGCATTTTTGAGTATCTTGATTTTGCTATAAAAACATCTGAATTACACAAAGTAAGGTAGTTGTAAAACTTTTGCATTTTTTGAGTACCCTGATTTATATTATTTATTATATCGTTGTATATATTTAAGAGTTACTTTAAAGTTCAGAATAAAATAGTCTAATAGCTTTAGTACATGCATTTTAACATTTTAATATTTTTTATGCAAAACGGAAGTGCTTTTATAAATTTAAGTATTCTAAAAATAAATCCCATAACTCGTTGGGTCAACCCGAACCCGATGACACTGGTCATGAACTTGCAGTTCTCAACCCGAAACCGAAATAACCCAACCTGAACGCGACTTGACGGATCGGTTTGCCATATATCGCTTTGAGCGATCATAATTTTGCTCCAAAGTGTGTCCTAAGTCCTAATATACTCTGTATGAAATTCCACAAATTAGCTAAGGAAATCTGCCACATGCTTGAACCTCAAGTCCCTATATCATACATATGGATGTATGGTGTTTTCCATACATCTGTATGAATATTCATTTTGGAGTAATAGAAAACTCATTTTGCATATCTGCTAATATTAAAATATATTCAAAACATGTACATCACAAAATATATGCATCTTCATTTGAAAACTACATAATGCTCATTACATTTATACATAGTGTGCATTTAAGAGTAACACAAGACTAATTTTAACTAAAATAAAGACGGAAGTACAACTAAAATAAAGAAATATGTGAAAAGAGTATTCATTTACTCGCAAATAAGTATTTGACGGGTAAATTAGTATTTGACGTGGACAGGAAATATCGCACATCTGGTTGTACCATATCTTGAAACTCGACCTACCTTTCTAGTAGAACCTGTGTGCAGCTCCATGCCACATTTTAAAAATATGTCTTTCTTTCTTCCCTCACCTAATCACCTCTCACAAATGATGGGGCATCTCAAGCATGTAAAAGGAACATATTGAGTTTCAAAACCTGTTTTAGTAGTCAATTAGGATCTTGGAGTTGATAATCAAAATTCTTCCCGAATTGGATACATTTTCTTTGCTTTAATTACTTTCCTCAACTAGTAATATGACATTTTGTTTTTCATGGACAAACAGGGGATATGATGGAAAGACTGTGTACTGCTTCGGAAATACAGTTTTATGCATCAAATATAATGATGGGTGCGTTGCAAAGAAAGAGTACTAACTTTGTGACACTTAACAAGAACTGTAATTTATCATCTTGGGGTTCTGGTTGTGACCCTGGTTGGGCTTGTAGTGTTGGAAAAGACGTGGCCGTTGATCTTAAAAATCTCAAGGAAATCCCAGCTAGAACTCACAATTGTCAACCATGTTGTGAAGGTTTCTTTTGTCCTCATGGTCTCACCTGCATGCTACGTGAGTATCTACTTTTTATTTTACTTCATCATTGCTACCACATTCACACACATTATGTATGAACATATGATAAAGAGAAGTAATAAGTTGGCAATTCTTTAGTAGTCTTGAGCTAAAAAATGTGAAATCGCGTGAAAGATTACTGTGCTATCAAAAAATTTGTTATTGAATGACTTGCATATATAGTTGGTTTTGTTCTCATTAATGCACGACATATTTTATGAAAATCTCAGCATTATATTTCACATTGTTTTAGTCTGTTCATGTGATTATTTTCCTTTGTGTTGTGTGGTGAAGCCTGCCCGTTAGGATCATATTGCCCTCTAGCAAGACTCAACGAAGCCACGGCAGGATGTGATCCGTGAGTTTGATGCTTTTCTCGAGCTATTTTCTCTTTTGCTATGGTCACAAAGCAATACTCTCTGCTGCTACCTTTCAGGTATAATTATCAAGTACAACCTGGTCAGATTAATCAAACATGTGGTGGAGCAGATATGTGGGCTGATATTATTACCGGTCATGATCTGTTCTGCCCAGCAGGATCTTACTGTCCAACTACTATCAATAAAATTCCATGTGATAGTGGGTATTGATTTTACCCAAAATTTGAATTTGAGTTTCCTTTCTCCTTTCAAATCATGCCTTTTAGGCCGCATAGATGCTCAGCTTAACCTAAAGCTCTGAGCTTTTCAGGAATATCCTGTTACTCACGCTATTCATTTGCATTTTCCAGGCATTACTGCAGAACAGGCTCAACGACCCAAACAAGTAGGCATTTCTTTTGAATGTTGGAGTTTTTTTGTTATCTCAATAATTTCAGTCCTCAGCAAGAAATAAATAAAAAAGATAGTTTCTGCTCCATGGTTTGTTGATTCAATAATGTCCTAGAGTAGCATTAATATTAGCAATCCAACCATACATCACCAATGGATTGAGATATCTGCAGATAGACGAGTAAAAAAAGCGTCCAACTTATATTGGGAATTATACAGTTCGTTGTTTTGGTTGGTTGGGAATGTGGAACAAGTGTATACTGGGAATTTGGCTGACTTTGTAACTTGTTTATAAGAATCTTCTCCCAAATTCCAAACCTTTTGAGTGACAAATATGTAAGTTAAAGAAGTATGTCTTATCTTGCAAATTAGGAAAAGTTTAGAAGAATATTTGGAAAAACTTGAAAACTTTGTAGTTTGTACATTAATGAGCAGCACTAATAGGAATAGACAGATGGATGATTTTACTTATGTTAACAGTGATGAATTTTCAGAATGTTACGAGTTGGCTACTTGTGACCCCGGAGCAGAAAATCAAAACATTACCGCATATGGTGCTCTTTTTGTTGTAAGTTACAATATCATTCATTAGGGCCTACTCTGCATAATTATATGCACAAGCATCTTTGGTTTTTTTTCATTTGTAAGATGGAAGGAGAGGATTTTGTTGGACTTAATTTCTAACATTTTCGGATTATTCAAAAGCATATTCTTCACTAGTATACTGAGGGATACAATTTAACCTCAACCATAATACCATACACATTAATTACTTTGCTTTTCGTGCATACATTGATATAAGTTTCATGAAAGCCTTCCTTAACTTCCCACTCTCCAATGGTTGACTAGGCTGGAATCATTCTCATACTTTTTGTTATATACAATTGCTCGGATCATGTTCTTAGCACCAGAGAGAAAAGGCAAGCTAAGTCCAGAGAAGCTGCTGTAAAAAGTGTGCAGGAAACTGTACAAGCACGTCAAAAATGGAAAACTGCAAAGGATATTGCTAGAAAGCGTGCAACTGAACTTCAGTCACAGTTGTCGCGGACATTTTCCCGTAAAAGATCAGTGAGGGAGGAAACAAAGGATTCAGGTCAAGCAACAGATGCTTCCTTGAATCCCAATCCTTCTGAAGAGAACTCTGAGAGTTATGATGATTTCAACATTGAGATTGAGGACAAAAATGTGAAGAAGAAACCTAGTAAGGCTAAGCACTTGCATACTCGCAGTGAAATTTTTAGATATGCTTATGGTGAAATTGAAAAAGAAAAAGCTCTTCAGGAGAATAGCCCAAATCTTAGCTTCTCTGGAGTCATCTCAATGGCCGCCGATAGTAAAATTGTGACAAGACCTCCCATTGAGGTTGTTTTTAAAGATCTGACACTTACTTTAAAGGGGAAAAAGAAGCATCTGTTGAGGTGTGTATATGGGAAGTTGTCTCCTGGTCGTGTTTCTGCTGTTATGGGTCCATCCGGGGCTGGAAAGACAACATTTCTTTCTGCTTTGACTGGAAAAGCTATAGGTTGTACCATGAGTGGTGTTATTCTT